CCCCCCCCCCATTCCAAAACCATGGACATTAGAACGTAGTTTCCCTCCTTCCCCCTTGTGAGTACAACAACCTCCATGAAGACAACAAGAAGACTTGGCTGGCAATTGGCGTTCCAGTTCATCAATAAGGTTGAGGTGAGCCCTCAACCTTACTGAACACCTTTGGATGAACTGGAAGACCAACTTCGAGCAATGTGGACATCTGGCCATCACACCTATATGAGCTTGTTGGACCCCCCCCCCCATTCCAAAACCATGGACATTAGAACGTAGTTTCCCTCCTTCCCCCTTGTGAGTACAACAACCTCCACGAAGACAACAAGAAGACTTGGCTGGCAATTGGCGTTCCAGTTCATCAATAAGGTTGAGGTGAGCCCTCAACCCTACTGAACACCTTTGGATAAACTGGAACACCAACTTCGAGCCCGATCTTCTCTTCCAACATCAATTCCTGACTCTTTTAGCTGAATGTGCACTAATGTTTACAGGTACACTTTAAAATCTCGTAGAAAGCCTTACCAGAGGCACCCTATTCTGGCAACAGGGTGCCACCTGTATACATGTACCACAATAGCACCATATAACACAGCATAGCCAATCATTTCCAGAATACCTCTCATTCACCGTGCGCAGCTTCCACATTGACCCTAAAGCAGAAAAACATCATAAAGGTACTCTATCCTGGCAATAATGTGGCACTTGTCTATAATCTGGCACCACACTGGCACCTGAAAACATGTCACAGCAGATGCAATCCTAATTTAACCCACGTCCACCTTGCACGGCTTCTGCAATGGCCCTGAAGCTCAGACACATATTACTTATTACAGGCAATAAGGTGGTGCCTGTCTATAAACTGGCACCATGTTGGCATCTGATAACATTTCACAGCAGTCCTAATTTACTTCTCACTCTCCTTGTGCAGTTCCATATTGACCCTGAAGACAGATTATTGACACAGCTACCCTTTCCTGAAATCGGGTGGCATCTGTCTGTAAACTGGCACCTGATAACATTGCACAGCAGCTACAACCCAAACTACCCCTCACCCACCTTGTGCAGCTTCCACATCGACCCTGAAGCTAAGAAACCAGTTCTTCAGAGTGGTTCCCTTTCCTACCATTGAGTGGCACCTGTGTATAAGTTGGCACCATGCTGGCACCTGATAACATCTAACAGCAGCTGCAGTCATAATTTAACCCTCTCAGACAGCTTGTGCAGCTCCCACAGTGACCCTGAAACCAAGATTATTCCTAAAGGTGCCCTTTCTGCAATAGGGTGGCACTGCCACATGTCTATAAACTGGCACCACACTGCCACATGATAACATCTCACAACAGCTGCAGTCCTCCTTTAAACCTTACCCGCCTTGTGCAGCTTCCACAATGACCCTTAAACCAAGAAATAGATTATTCACAGAGGTGCCCTTACTGCAGTAGGGTGGCACTTGTGTACAAACTGGTACATAATAACGTCTCACAGCGGCTCCAGTCTTAATTTAACTCTCTTACCCGCCTTATGCATCTACTATAATGACCCTGAAACCAAGAAACAGATGATTCACAGTGGTGCCCTTTCCTGCCATTGAGGGGTACTTGTCTATAAGTTGGCACCATGCTGGCACCTGATAATATCTCACAGCAGCTGTAGTCTTAATGTAACTCTTACCCACCTGGTACATCTCTTTCAAAGACTCTCACATGAAGGAACAGATTATTCACAGTGCTACCCTTTCTGCAGTAGGATGGCACTTACCTAAAAGCTGGCATCTGATTACATCCCACCCCCAAAGCACTCCCCTCGCCAACCCTGTGCATCTCCCACAATGACCCTGAAACCAAGTATCAGGGTCTTCCCAGTGGTAGGTAGGTCCCCTTCTATAGTAGCGTGGCACCGGTCTATTAAATGGCACCTGATCACATCTCATACCGTAATGCCCTCCCCTCACCTAACTTGTACATCTCCCACCATGACCCTGAAACCCAGTATCAGATTTTTGCCTGTGGTACCCCATCTATGGTAGGGTGGCTCCTGTCTGTAAACTGGCACCTGATCAGACCCCACCCCCAATGTGCACCTCCTTCACCCACCTTGTGCACCTCCCACAATGACCCTGAAACCAAGCATCAGCGTATTTCGAGTAGTACCCTTCCTGCTATAGGGTGGTACCGGCTTATAAACTGGCACCTGAACACATCTCACTGCCTAATACCCTCCCCTCACCCACTTTGTACATCTCCCACCATGACCCTAAAACCAAGTATCAGAATATTGCCTGCAGTACCCTTCCTGCTATAGGGTGGCACCTGAAACCAAGTAACAGAGTATTCCCACTATAGCACCCTTTCTGCAGTAGGGTTGTCTATAAACTGGCATATAATCATATTCCATCCCCAATGCACACCCGCCTCGCCCACCTTGTGCATCTCCCACCGTGACCCTGAAACCAGATATCAGTTTATTCCCAGTGGTACCCTTTCTACAATTGGGAGGCACCTGTCTATTAACTGGCACCTGAATACAACTCACTCCCCATGCACACCTCCCTTACCCACCTTGTACATCTCCCACAATGACCCCAAAACCTAGGTTTACCCTTCCTGCAGTAAGGAGGCAACTGTCTATTACCTGGCACCTAATCACATCCCACCCAAATGCACTCCTCCCTTACCCACCTTGTACATCTCCCACAATGACCCTGAAACCAAGCATCATGTATTCTCAGTGATGCCCTTCCTGCAGTAGGCAGAATCTGGCACCTGATCACACCCCATGCACCTCCCTCCTTCACCCACCTTGTGCAGCTTCCACATCGCCCCCAGCGCCTTGACCTCATGGTTGCCATGCTTGCCCTCCTCCAGGCACTGGTAGCAGACTGGCATCTTGCACTGGACGCAGTACATGCTGTGGTTCTCCAGCTCATGCACGAGGATGTTGCGGGCACACGCCAGGCACAGGCTGTGGGAGCAGGGCAGCAGTATGGGTTCGCGGTAGAACGAGCCGCACACCGGGCATTTCAGCTCTTCCTCCATCTCTTCCATAGGGAGCCGAACACCGCAACCGAACCGCGCTGCACAGAACAGCCACACTGTGGGGAGAGGAGGAGGGCGGGGCCGAGCGACACACCCCGCCGGTGATTGGACGGCCGTTGAGCCAGCCTGGACGTTGATTGGCCAGAGCGCAGTGGGTTAGACACGGAGGCGGGGGGATGAAGGATGCTCCCCAGCATCAGCACCACAATACACCATCAGCATCTCCAGGAGCGGCACCCGGTTTTATAAGGGGGCCAATTATACCGCCACCCCCTCGCTGCCGGAAGGGCCCCGACCTCTATTACACAAATATGATCATAATTACAAAATGTTATAAAAATACAAGGAGCATCCAAAGAGGTGTTCAAAGTCTTAGAGCCCGATCACACTCTAGTGTTGAACGACACGCACGGAATCTGTGCACACGCACAGCATGCTTAGCATGGGGTACCCTGTGTTAAGTGTGTTGCATTACCGTTCATTTGAATGGCACCCAAAATGCACCTCCCGGTGGCCATGCTTTGCAATGCAGTTCAACGCAATACCGTGGGTTGCATTGTGGTGAAAGAAGTGGAGCATGCATTAGTTATTTCACTGCACTGCAAGCTATTGTGGTACAGCGAGTTGCGATGCAACACATGGCCACTTAAAGGTGCATTGGGGTGCTTTTCAAATGCACCTAGAGCACGGTACTGCACGCTAGATGCGCTGTGAGATAGTGTGAGGTAAACTCGTAGATGCCATGCATTTAGCGCCATGATGTGGTGTGAATGGGCCCCTACAATTTGTTATTCTGCAGAGGGACCACTGTTTCAACACAGAGAGCCAAGGCTCTTTTCTGCATCATGCTGGCTGAGTGCAGGCATTTCTACTCAGACTGCAGCTGCTTTGCATAGAACACAAACTCTAACAGGGTTATTCACTAAAGGGTGAAGAGGATGGGCAGGGCCGGATTTACACTCTCTGCTGCCCCAATGCCATGTTCCTCAATGCGCCCCCCCCCCCCCCGCTACCAACAAACAACAAAGAGAACTCCCCACGATCC